ATGCTGGTGTCTGTCGATCCCAACAAGAGTCCAGCACCTTCAGAGAATTGTCATCTAAAAAAGACTCCTGACAGTCATTGGGCGTATTAGCAGGAGCTTAAAAAACATTCTGCCCTTCCTTAATGTTCACAGCACTTTTGATACAGTTATATACAGGTTTGACGTCTTTGACATGGTATTCCCTAAATTTAGCCATTCCCCAGAATGCCATTAAATATGTTTATGAAACATTAGTGATGCTCACTGCATCTCAACAGGCTTCAGCAGGAATTTGACTTCTGCAACAGTGAATCATTGATAACATAGCGTGTCTAAAGAGCAAGCCAGTAATGTCAGGAATAGCCAGGGGTTGAGCTGTGCTGTGCAATGCAGGATGCCAATCTGTGTTTATGAGTCTCCACATGTCGGACTCAAAATTCCCTTATTCCTAAATGGATTCAGTTACTTAATTATCACCAGTCATAATGAACATTTCCTACACTCATCTTATTTTGGTGTCAACTTCAGTTGATTGTATTCTTGCCTTTGAGTCAGAAGGTAGTGGGACTTGGAGTCCAGGTTGACACCCCAGTACATCACTGGGACTGTTGTATTGGAGTGTTCCCCAATGCAGGACTTCCCCAGCACTGCACTGGAGTGTCAGCCTAGATTATGAGTTCAAAGTCCTGACCTGAATCTTGAACCCACAACCTCATGATCATGACTCAGAGTTGAGAGTACTACCAACTCAGCTAAGCTGATACCCAACATTGGCCAAAATACCTTACCACTAAACCATTAGCGGAAATCACCAGTGAATCACCTACCATCCTTTACTAAATCACTAGAGAACTCACCCGGCATCCCCCTCAACTAGACCACCTGGGATAAGAAAGCTAATTGCACTTCTGTATCACAAGCAGTGAAATACATTCATTCCTCCCCCACCCCAGCTAGACAAATAGGTAACTTTGGAAACAAAGGAAGGTCCTGTTTGACCAACCTTATCAAATTCTTTGAAGATGTAACTGATAAATGTAGATGTAGGAAATGCAGTGGATGTAGTATAGTCTGATTTTCAGAAGGCCTACATGAGTGTCACATGAAAGGCTCATAACTAAAATCAGGGCATGTGGAATCGTGGGAGAGGTAGCAGAATGGATTAAAGAATGGTTAGGAAATTGAAAGCTAAGGGTGGGAGTTAAGCGTATTTTCTCAGGCTGGCAAGAGGTAGGAAGTGGTGTTCCACAGGGATCCATGTTAAGACCACACTATTTACCATATACAAAAATGATTTGGATTCAGATATACAAGGTGGGGTGCCAACATTTGCACATGACACAACACTGGGGGGCGGGCTTGGTAAACAATTAAGAAGAATGCTGAAGAATTCTACAACAACAACAAAATTACATTTATAGAGCGCCTTTCACGTCGGGAGGATGTCCCAAGGTGCTGGACAGTCAGGGGTCAGGACCCGTACATGAGGGAGGGTCGGGGTAGGGGTTAGGGAAGGCAGTGAGGTGGGAGGGCGACTGAAGGCGCAATCGAAGAGGAGGGTCTTGAGACCAGCCTTGAAGGAGGTAAGGGAGGAAGCGAGGCGAAGGAACTGTGGGAAGGAGTTCCAGAGTGTGGGGGCAGAGAGGCTGAAAGCCCGACCACCGATGGCAGGGCGGATCGGGCGGAAGACATAGAGCAGGCCGGAACCCGCTGAACGGAGGAAACGGGCAGGTTGGTAGGGAATCAGCGGTTCAGAAAGGTAGGAGGGGGCAAGGCCATGGATGGCCTTTAAAGTGAGGACGAGGATGTTGAACTCGATCATCTGGGGATGGGGAGCCAGTGGAGTCGGGCGAGGGTGGGAGTGATGGGGTCACGGAGCCTGGTGCGCAAGAGTACACAAGCTGCAGAGTTTTGGATGATCTGCAGCTTGTGAAGGAAAGAGTTGGGAAGGCCGATGAGGAGGGAGTTTCCATAATCGAGCCTTGATGTGACGAATGCGTGGGTAAGGGTTTCAGCAGCCTGAGGGGTGAGGCAGTGGCGGAGTCTGGCAATGTTGCGGAGGTGGGTGGTAGCCAGTGCCAGTCATGGTGCAGATGTAGAGGAGAAAGGACAGTTCAGGGTCAAACAAGACACCCATGCTCCTGACTGGCTTAGTGAGGTTAAGTGTGCAGCCATGGAGGCTGATGCTGCCAGGGCCCAAGGTGCTGAGGTGCTGGCGCGAGCCAATCAGGAGAGCCGTGGTCTTGCTGACGTTCAGTTGGAGAAAGTTGTCTCTTGTCCAGGACTTGATGTCGCACAGGCAGTCGGTCAGGACGCCAGTAGTCCTTGAGTTGAGGGTGGAGCAGAGATAGCGTTGGGTGTCATTTGCAAACATGTGGAAATTGACCCCATGTCTGCGGATGATGTCACCAAGGGGGAGCATGTAGAGGGTGAAGAGGAGAGGACCGAGGATAGAGCCCTGAGGAACTCTACACGAGACGGTTTGGGGGCTGGAGGAGAAACCGATTTCAGAGATGAAGTGGAGGCAGTGTGAAAGGTAGGACCTGAACCAGTCAAGGACAGAACCTTGAAGGTTGAGGTGAGAGACGGTGGTGGAGGATTGAGTGGTCCACAGTATCAAAGGCGGCGGAGAGGGCGAGGAGGCAGAAGGAGTCTTGGTCACACATGGTCAGGATGTCAATTCAGGACAACATTAACAGGCTAGCGGAATGGTCTGACAGATGGCAAATGGTTAGCGTAGGAAAATCCAAAGTAATTTCATTTGATAGGAAAAATAAAGAAGTCATTTATAGTCTGGATCAGTCGTGGCCCACTGACTGAAGAGGTGATTGAATCAGATAGTACAGATGCATTCAAGGGGAAGCTAGATCTTCACATGGGATACTGGGATTAGAATTGTATGGAAGAGGTTAAGAAATGGGGAGGATAAATACCAGCATTGACTAGTGGGCTAGTGACCTGTTTCCATGCTGTACGGTCTTTGTTAATCTACTTTTAATACACATAATACAGCAAAATATCTTTGCTCGTTATTCCAGCAAGACAGCAAGATGTGAATCCTTTCTCCATACACCCTCTGACTTGGAAACTAATGGAGAAGAGGGTTGGAAACAGATCGGCTCATTGACCCTGATACGAAGGAGCACTCCCATTTTGAACAGGGTGGAGAAAAATTTGAAAGATCCAGCATTACGCTGGATTAATTTACATTTTTTATTCGTTCTCATCTTTATCGAGTACCCTGGTTACAAGTTACAGGCTATGGAAAGTCCTATAGGAAAGTAAACCAACCATAATTACTGTACAAGCCCTAGGGTTAATCACAGTTCAGACATTGGGAAGAATGGTTTCCTCAAGAGTTTGGCGGCAGATGAAATGAATACTGTTAAAAGTCTTCCAGGTTTGGAGGACTGATTGTAAATTAATTTTGTTAACCAAATGTGAACAATGAAATACAGAAAGAAGTTCACCATAAAGTGGCTGCAGACGTCAGACTGGACAATCTAGCCAGCACTCATTTAAACTGAAAGTGTAATGCAATTCATTGCAGATGGCAGATCAAAGGCATTATAGAACAGTTATAAACTGAACTTGGGTCTGTGATATTGATGAATAATGTATTTTACAGCATTAGATTTATGCACTGATTGTGCTTCACGCCTAGACTTGTCCTGGCATGTATGTTTTCAGCTTTTCGTTTATTGGTACCCAAATGAATTATTTATACACAAAATTATACATTCCTTTTTCCCGCCAATCAAAACCTTTTCATCCAAGGTTTTATTGTACAATGTGTCTGAGCTGATCACCCTGACAGCTACTTGGAATTTGTTTAGTTCATGCAATGACCGTTTAATTGCAAACCAGCTTGGACTGAACAGTTCACATTTAATTTGGCTCTTTGATGTGGAGATGCCCTTCTGTTTGCTTTAACCTCCAATGTTCTTTCCTTTTCTTCCCTTCTGACTTTTTCCTTTTCTCATCATGAAGGCGCTGATTCATCTGGAGATACAGTGCCATGGGTGCCATCCAGTTACCTTGCCCAAGTGGGGGTGTGGGGGTGCAAGATGACCAAAGGAGCAGTCAAAGAGATTGCTAGATAGCGATCGATCAAGAGTAAAGTGCAACAGGGGTCTTATTCATTTCCCCTCCTGGGCACAAAGCTGAAATCTTAGGATGTTCTTCCAACGTGAAAGGCACTATACAAATGCAATTTGTTGTTGAAGCCAATTCTATATTCCTCCTTTTTGGCTTACTGGTTGAAATTGACTAATTCTACACATAGTGTTCTATGGTTATGTGTAGCCCTTGTTATGTATGACTTAGTAATAGAACTGGAAGATTTCGCACCTCATTCTTGACCGTTGCACCAGGTACTATGTCATGTTGCAAAGGTCACACATATTCTATATGTCATTCATGACATAGTTTATTGTTTGTAGAACACTGCTGGTGCAGATTGGCTGCTGCATTTGTCCACATAACAAGTTTCTATTTTAATTACAACTTCATTATTTCATGTTCAGATATTCCATGTCCAGATCAAGATTGCATGAGGATGACACCTGAATGTACCTTTTTATTTTCACCCTTTAGTTTAACTTGGACAAGCCTTACTCCTCGGCTCCTGCCAATGCTTCCTTGCTTCTGGCTCAGTCTTAGGCACTCTCTCAAATTCAGTGAACCAGTGCTTAACCATTCTGTTTGATCCTCAGCTCTCTTTCCTCCCTAATATATTGTCCTAACAAGACATTTTTTTTTGCAACCTCGCCACATCACCTTTCTCTGTGTTCATCTCACTTTAAACATAACCAAAACATTCACACTTCCTTCACTTCCAGACCCAACTTTTCAAATGCCCTGCTCACTGGTCTCCTCAGTTATAACATCCGCAAGCACCAGCTCATCCAAAAACTCTGTTACCTGCAACCTTACATGCACAAAACCTAGCATGTCCATCACCCCCATCCATCCTTGTCAGGTTCTATATGTTTTCTGTCTCCCAGAGGATTTCAAAATATTTCCCTTCATTTCCAAGAGTTATTTCCTTCTTGTCCACTGCCAAAAATATCTGTCAAAAGCCAGCTGTCAAATTTCTGTAAACCCTCCAAATCATTATTCCTCCATTCTGATACAGTTCTACAGGCGAAAAGCTAATTGCATTGGCTCACTTTTTTCGTTTATCTGAATTTTCTGCCACCATCAACTTGGAGGTTCCCCGGGTTCTGTTCTCTCTCCCATTTTGTTTCTTCACCAAATCCCTGTCCTCTTCTGCTTATCATCCAACTCCATTTATTCTTTCACTGATGCATCCACTCTGCAGAAAATGAATAAAGTATAAGTCTCCTTCATATCCTTTGACAGATCTGGGTGATTCTTAATCAATACTTTAAAAAATACTAAATTTAAACTGTGATTAACACCTTGTTTTGTTGTGATCTGTAATGTCCTGCCTATAATACTTTGTGCACAGAGAATTATTCCTGATTATTGCAGTTAATAAAAACTCTTTCCTATCTTTGTGTCTTTACATTTTTGCAAATCTAAGCAAAGGCTTATGCAAAGGAAGAGCACTAATCTGTGCATTTAATTTACGTAGAATTATCTCTAGCAGATAGTTCCAGTGCATCAGGCACACTTCACATCAGCAAAAAGAATGGCTCAACAAGCAAGCTGTGGTTGAGTTTATGAAGTATCAGTTGCACTGGAATGACTTTTATAGTGAGAGTGATGAAACCCTGCACCCCACGTTCTGACTGCCCACACCCCCACCTCCAGTGGGAGGTATGACAGCAATAGGGAGTGTCTGGGAGGTACGACAGGGGTGACTGGGGCTGATGGTTGGGGGTTAGACACTTAGTGGGGTGTCTGGGAGGTGGGTGAAGATTTGAGAGACAAGACGTTGGGGGGAAGGGGCTGTGCCTGATCCCACTCTGTGGTGGTGCCTCGGGGCCGGGCTCTTCAATTCTCCTCTCCTCACACCACAATCCCAGGCCCTGCTGACTTCACTCCCCTACCCCTGCTCACTGCGCTTATGGCCAGCCTGGCCGGTATCCTGCACCAGCCCAGCTGTGAGTCCCGGGGGAGGTTTTGAGCATCCAGCAGGAGCAGCAGAAGGTGCACAGCAACTCTGTTCTTCAAGCCAGGAGGGCTGCCATACACCCAACATCCCTTGTTCCCACTCCGATGGGAACTTCATTATTTCATCTCAATAGGTTCATTTCTGAATATGCTTGTAATGTTGGCTGATATATGTAACATTTAAATTTGATATCCAATAAGAATCCTTAACTTAGGATAGTTTCTTACACGTTGGGAAGTACATCTCAAAGCACTTCACCAGTTATAATGTAAAATACATTGACTGTGTGTTTATAGGTGAACCCAACTGCCAATTTGCTTCACAACAATGTCCCACAAAGAGCCATGAAGGGAATGACCAATTTTATTGAGGTTGTTGGCCAAAAGTAGTGCCATAGGATCATTAACTCCCACATGAGCAGGGGACGAGACCCACCCCACCCCCAGCCCCCATTTCTGGAGTGTCATCCTAGATTGCAGATCTGCTTTGTTTACTTAGCCAAGTAGCAAATTTGTGCATCTTCACTAAATACGATTTTGTTTACTAATAATCATATAAAATACAATATCATAATGTAGTTTTGTTTTGACCAAATTGACATAATAATAATAATAATCCTTGCATTTGATATATTGGCTTATCAGGTCTTTGAGATGCCTCAAAGCGCTTCACAGAATATACAGTAAAGTGAATCGACTGTGTATTTTGTGAGCAAAATGCGGCAGCCAATTGCGCACAGCCGTGCCCCACAAACAGTCGTGGATTGAGTGACCAATTCTTTTTTTTAAAAGGAATTATTAAACCCAGAAAAGCAATCTGCCAATTGACAAGCAACCAGGTTCCTACTTACTGCTGGGTAAACAGGTGTGTGGAGTAAGGAAACTTGCCAAACATTTCGCCCTGCCGGGAATCGAATCCAGGTCTCTCGCTTGCGAGGTGAGTGCTCTAATATAAGGTTATACATGAGCACAGAATAAATATACATAGAGGCAAGAGGAGAAATTATTTCCACTGGCTGATGAGTCAGTGACTACAGGGCATCAATTCAAGATAGCGAGCAAACAGGGAAGTTTGGAGAACATTTTTCATGCAGGTGGTTAGGATATGGAATGTCCTGCTGGGAGCAGTGGTTGAAACAGAATTCATATTAACTTTCAAAGGGAACTAGATAGATATCTACAAACAAGTAAACTGCAGGGGTATGGGGAAAGGGCAGGGAAATGGGACTGAAAGGATGTTTCTTTAAAAGAGTCAGTACAGACACGATGGGCCGAATGGTCTTCTTTGTGATTTGCGTTTCTATGATTTTATGCTTCTGTGTGCTTGTGCTTTTAAGTGTTTCAGACTCCTGCAGAAAGCAATGTGCCATAACCATTAGAAGAGCCTCGATAACATAAAAATTGTACTCTATTGAGCATTACACATATCCCATCCTCTTCAGTGATGATGACCTTTAATCAGACTGCCTATTATAGTCGTGCATCACCAAAGATGCTATGGGCAACACGCAACAGAAATGTGATCATATACAATGTGTGTCACCTTTCTCATTATCAACGACTACATTTAACTTAATGGCATCCATACTGTGACTGGATTTTCCATAAAAGCATTTACATTTTGTTCTGTTGTTTTCAAATCCTATTTTACATATGAGAGATCAATCCAATGCCTCCTACAATGCATTAGCAGCCTCTCCAAATCCATTAGTGGCATTAGTCGCTCTGAGTTGTCCTGCTCTCTTCATTAAAAAAGCATCTCCATTCCTTATTTAAGTCACTGTACTCAAAGGAAACATGCTGTATGCCTCTGTTCTGTAAGTTTCAGGGCACCAGCGCCCAGTGCCTCATGTGACAGCTCTTTGTTGGTTGTGATATGTGTTTTTTTCTGTTAGCCAACATATTCCTTGTATTTCACAGCTTAATCTCAACTATTTTCGTAGCAACTCATTTCCATTCCATCATCCTTCCAGCTGCAGAATGAACAGGTCACAAACTGCCACGCAGCCATTGTGGCCTCGACTGCCCTTTGGAAGAGAAATCAGATTGCACCTAACACACCCAGTCAGGTTTGATCTGCTAATAGTCAATTACCTCAATTCTAAATTACTTTTGCTTCAGATAAAAATGCTGTTTTCCTTTTTTAGTCTGAAACAGTCCAGGAATCAAGGCGGATGTCATTGTCAGAGGTATTTGGCCCATCAAACATGACTTTAATTTGTTAGTTTCTTAAAAGCAGGTTAATGTTTTATTCAGTTACAAATGCAAATGTGCATTCTGTTGACATGTTACTTTCATGCTACGCAGAGAGAAAGAGAGAGAGAGAGCTGTGGGTAGTTGGGAGTGAGTAATGAGGCTGTAATTTACTCCAGGGGTTCAGATGACATCATTAACTACAAGAACAAAGCTTGAGTGGTTTATGAATGTCATCGAAACCCCAGATTAAATGCAGACTTATCAGGGTTGAGAAAGCAAAGATCTACAATGGGATTCACTAATAGCAAAGGAGACCTTAAATGGGAATCCTGCCCTAACAGCCATCTCATGGGAACCCCATGATCTACTGCTGGCACTTTCAAGGCGAAGATCTCACAAGTTGTCTGTGATGTACTGCCGGTTACTGGCAGGAATCCCTGTTAGCAATCCTGAGTCACCATTCATGAATCCCATTGTAAACCACTGCTCTACGGCCCCAATCGCCAACATCCATAATTTTTCTTCTATAATTTACTGCAGTCTCAGTAAAATGAGAACAATGTTAATGCCTGTGAAGAGGAGGGCTGAAACTTTCATTAATTTAAAACCTGTTGAGAGGCTGTTGCACTGTCAACATGATTCACAAGAGAACCCAGCGAGGGAACGATTTAGCAATTCAATGGTGGAGTTACAAATGAAATAAGGAGCTGGTATATATTATACGGCAATCACAGGTAACACTGTTAATCAGAGAAGTTCTAACCCCAGCCATTAAAGAGTCAAGGGTGGCTGCACAGCAAACTACCTGGTGAAGTGGAAATACAGGATGCTCGACTCAGACTAAATCTATTTCTTCATTCCATAGATAGAAGTCCGAATCCTGTGTATGTGGGAGACATTGATTAAACTATGAAGTGCAGCCAAGGTAGAGTATGGTGGCTTTGCCATGGAGATTAGCTGTGTTTGCAATGTTGTCAGGACGATATACAGCATCTTAGGTGGTAGTAACTGTCTCCCTCCCTTGCATGTCTAATTGGCAGGAAATGTTTTTGTGGCAAAACATGAACGAGGATAATGGCTTGAGATATTTACCAATTCTATATTCCCTATTACAATTCTTTCCTCGGTAAGGAAACACATGGAAATAAACTCATATACACGTTTCGGCGGTAAGGCTTTCAGCCTATCTTCCCCAACTCTCTGGAACTCTATCCTGGAGTCTTACCGACTCATTCTCTCCCTCACCTCTTTCAAGATCCGTTTCAAGACCTGCAGTCATTTTTCCTTTCCCCACCCCCTCAGGTACCCCCACACCCCACCCCTGCTTGGGTGCCAAGCCAGGACTCTAAATGCCTTGAGATATCTGCCCAACATGAAAGGCATTATAAATGTAGATTTATATTGTATTGTGTTGCATAATAAAAATGAGAAAAATACTATATTTATACAGAGAAGGTAGTGTTGCTGCAGCATTAAGTGGATCAATCAACTACTTCAGACTGAAATCGGAATAGAAAGCAACCAAGTGAATTTGAGGGCAACTATAAAGCTCTTGAGTTGTCAATTAATTTTTGAAAAAAATACTTGAATGCTAAGATTCTTCATTGACTATTTTAATCCAACGGATGGGCTGAAAGCAAAATGTGCAACATCGTCTCAATGACAGCTCAAACCACTGGTGCCTCAGTTACAAATGAGCATTATCTAAAACTTAACTTTAGAGCAGCTATTTACAGGGTGAGGTAACAAGGGTCAGGCATATTCAACATCAATTCCTATGGTCTATATACAAGATCAAATATCAACTCATCTTCAGGCCCATTTGCGACCCCCACTCCAAAGTTCTGGAACTTTAGTAGGTTGGAGAGATCCAATGAGGATTCCCAGTTAAATATTCTCAGTTGCCATTAGTGAAACCTATTGCAGACTATTGTTTATTAGCAAAGCATTTGCCAAACTTTTTACTGAGGTCTATATTAAACCGTATATAATAATAATAAAATAATAATAATAATAATCCTTGATATAGCACTTTTCACG